TCATAGGTGCTAACATAGGCGCTATCATAGGTGCTATCATAGGTGCTTTGATAGGCGCTATCATAGGCGCTATCATAGGCGCTATCATAGGTGCTATCAAAGCTGCTCTCACCTTCTCAGCATCACCTGAGCACCAACAAACAGGTTGACACAGTATGTGAAGGTGCTATTGAAGTCTTTTGGATAAAAGATTAAACATTTCAACAAAAAGAATCCATCCAGATGACCTGACTTAACATTGTTGGATTTTTCTACCTGACTTATTGAGCATGATATAGGACATCCTTGTTATTTTTCGGCTCATTGTCGTGCTGCCACTGGATGAAATCTTCTAAAGAAACAACAAATTTTCACAAGGACAATGATGAGATTTTGATACAAGTCATCAACTAAAGTTTAAATGGGTGAGGAAAAGTTGGGCTTTATGAGACAGACCTGATATTTTTGCGCAAACACAGTTCAAGTTTTCTGGTTTTCTCATGTTATGTGTGTCACTCATGACAACAAGATTTTTCTGCCACTTACTGTAATTCTTTTCAAAACTTATTTGCGTAGTGACCACTTGAAACTCTGTTTATGCCTGTCTTAGTAAGAGTGCAGTCAGGGAGTGACAGACGCAGGTATGTCATTATCAACAGCAGCTTTAACATTTATTTTTCTCGTGAAACTTTCTTTACTGTTTAAACATCAAAACGCCCTAAAACATTATAAAAGTCCAAATTACGTTTAGATTTTAAGAAGAAAGGCGATGTACGGCGTAATTTTGATCATACGGGCATTCATCAGAATTGATTTTATTTTTGATTTTTTTTAGTTTGACCAAAAATCTGTTCAAACTGAATCCACTCATACTGTAAATAAACAAATAGCTGATGGTTTTTAACATTTGAAGAATTGGGCAGTCAGACAAAAAGACCGGCACAACATGTTAAAGTGTAATTAAAGTCAGGATCTGGCTGGGTTTAACACAAAGAGTGCGAGGAAACCAAGCAGCGTTTTCCTGCCTCACAACACCTGGATCAAAATTAACGACTCGGCTCCTAGTTTATTATGCTCAGATGTTTCCAACAGAATTACTTTGTAAATCTAAATAGAATTTGGGATACCACAGGGGTCATTCATCGGTTCCCCTTTGTTCTGCATGTAATTTTTTTATTTTAGCTAGTTTAAAATGTACAATCTGTATTTTAAACTCAGTTATTCAGATCTTAGGAGCTTTGCTAACTTCTTAGATTAGTCAAGTTGTAATAAATCCTGAAAATAAATTTATTTTATATTAACTGATAATAAGCTAAAGATTTTGTTCCTAAATTATTTTGCTGCTATTTGTTCTCATGTAAACTTTTTTTATGAGATGATCATAGCTGTTAGGAACTTAAAAATATATTTAATTCTAATATCTCAATACATTTCTTACAGGTTTGTGCACAGGTGTAATTACACTTTGCAGTTATTGGCACTACCTGAGCTTCCTCTTTAGCCTTTTGCTCTGTTTCTCATCGATTTTAGATCTGAGCTGAGTTCAGCGACGTTCATCTCCCTCTGCATATTATCAAAGCACTTCCTCTCTGACATTTAGGAAAGAAGGAAACAAAAAGGGGGCGGCAGAATGGAAGGGAAAGAAGAGAAGAGACAGCAACAGTGAGTTGTGGAGGCAGGTTTGGCCTTTCTTACAAATACCATCCTGTAATAAAAGCTATAATTACGGCTGATTATTCACTGTCCATCATGTTGTTGGGGCTCCTCCTCTTGCTCAAATAATTTTTTTTTATTTTTTTTTTTAAGACCAGGTTTTTCGTTGACTGGATTTTTGAAGTTGGTAAAGTTTTTGTACTTTATGAAATCTTTTCTACACAGATGCTTTGCCACCACATGAACATGGAATTGAGCAATTTGAATAAAATTATGGAAAATTGGAGGAAAACGCTGAGACAGAAAGGCAAACTTTTCTTTCTAGATTGAAATGTCCAAAAAAGAACATGAATGAAAAAGCATTTTTAGATCACAGGCGGCTGTGGCTGAGTGGTTAGAGCAGTCAAACTCCAATGTAAGAGCTGGGGGTTTGATTCCACCAGCATTCACATGTTGAAGTGTCCCTGGGCAAGACACTGAAACCTCGTCCTATGTGTGTCCCATCAGTGTATGAATGTGACAAAGCTCTGATTATTCTCTACAGATTCAGATTATCTTTTTGTAGAGATGTAGTAGAGTGCTGTATGAATGTGTGTGTGGAGGTAAATGAGGCACAGATTGCGTTGTAAAGAGTTTTGAGTATCTTGATTAGACAGAAAGGTGCTATATAAGTACAGTCCGTTTACCATTCCATTTATCACTGTTAACATTATTCATTAAAAATATATATTGTGCAGATTGGACTAAATCCATCCATCCATCCATTTTCTTTACCCGTTTATTCCATTTTGGGTCACGGGGGTCGCTGGTGCCCATGTCCAGCAATCACTGTGCGAGGGGCGGGGTACACCCTGGACGGGTCGCAAGTCCATCACAGGGACACATAGAGACAAACGAGACAAACAACCATTCACTCTCTCACTCACACCTAGGGACAATTTAGAGTTACCAATCAGCCTAACATGCATGTTTTTGGTCTGTGGGAGGAAACCGGAGCACCTGGAGAAAACCCACGCATGCACGGAGAGAACATGCAAACTCCACCCAGAAAGGCCCCTGGACCGGGGTTTGAACCAGGGTCCTGCTTGCTGAGAGGCAGCAGCTCTACCAGTTGCGCCACCGTGCTGCCCTGATTGGACTAAATATGTGGTATTAACACCAACAATTTGTGTCATGGTGAGATAACAAATTTGTAGTCTCCAAAACTATGCTCCATAGCACAACAATAAATTTTTAATGCATCGAGACGTCAACTTGTTATTTGAAGTGTGAAATTGTTACGGTAAAGAAATAATGTTAACGATGCAACTTCCTGTTCTCAGTGTGCGGAGCTAAGATGATGCGTTGAGGACTGGACTGGGATCAAAACGTGCATTTTGATGCAGATCAGATGGTTTATGTTGGAGTTCAACCAGTTTGTCTTGTGACATTAAGTCAAATGTTGAGGTCTAAACAAGCTTTTCACACTTATTCGCACACGCCTTAGAAGTAAACTGTTCAAGTTTGGCGTCAATATGTTTAAATCTTTGAGTTTCTTACATTCCACATGTGTGACACTAAAATTAAGATTTTGAACAAGATGGAGGACTTCCTGTTAGGTTTAGGACAAACCACTTAGAACCTGTTTTGTAAATCCTGGACTGTAAAAATCTTTTTCTTTTCTCTTTCTCAAACACTTTTAAATGCAAAACTTCTCACTGTGCGTCACATGTGTGCGTTTCATGACGATTCAAGCACATTTAAGCCTTAAAAAATGTATTCGTTAGGCACAAGATGGAGAAAGAATAAATTGCACTGCCTTCAGGGCTCAAGTGTAATTAACAGCTAACAAAAAGAGAGCTATGAGGGAGCACGTTCTCCTGCTGAACAAAGCTCAGATTGCATTACGAGGTCGAGACTTTTACCCGATTATACCGGTAAGTCCTTCGTAACTGTTTAGACCAAACGGTGAGTTTTTGTTATCGCAGCTTTAGAAGTCGCTGCCTCTGAATGCTGCTGGAAGCAGCCGTCTGAGACTCATCGACTGATGTTTGGTGCTTGGAGAGTAAAGCCATGATGAGTCATACCACAGATCATGTAACTGTGGATCTGACTGAGGAGTCGGTGGATCTTGCAGGGAACTGTGATCCAGCTAAGTGAGGTAGGGTATTCTATTCCAACATACTGAACGCACACATGCACGCGTCACAGACAGTTCATAATATTGGTCATTTGCACTTGTTTCCTATTAGCAGTGACGTTTGTGTATTTCCTGACAACCATGATGAGTCAGCGGCCTGTGTTTGTTCAGTGACATTCCTGTTTTTCACTGGTGGGCATGAGTAGAATTCTCTCTGACGTCCAGCCAGGCACGGAGCATCTAACATTAAATTAATAAAAACTGATGGTTAGAACAATAAATCAGCTGATTTTTTTTTACTTTTGTCACTCTGCAGCCTTTCACTTCCACATGCTTATAATGAGAGGCGCCATTTCACCGTGATCTGTGCCAAATAAAACATGAAGGGATTAGACTTTTCACAGACCATCCAATTCAATTAGTCAAGCAGTGAAAGCAGCCGAGGGCCTGATGGCTCATTTCATTCATCTCTCTCCTCCTCCAACTAGCTGCAGCCCTCCCTTTGTCCTCCAACCTTGCTGTTCTCTCAGCCTCCTCCCTTCCCTGGTTTCAGTTTACCTCTGAGACCCCATCCCTGCCTCCCTACCACAGATTATTCCTCCCTTCCCTCCTACTTCTGCATGTCACACTGCAGCAGTAAGACGATGGAAGGGTCGGACTTGGCGGCCTCTTTAAACTCCTCCAAGGTGATTTCGTCGTTGTGATCCTTGTCCATCTTGGAGAAGATCTTATCGACGCGCTGCTGAGGGGTCAGCCCGTCCTCGTTCATACGCATCATGATCACCGTGCCGACCATTTTGTAGATGGCCTGCAGCACAATGTAAAGACAGCTACGTTCAGGTGCATCTCTTAAAACTGTGTAAGCACATTTCTGTTCACGCTCCAAACACACACCTCGATGATCTCCAGCATCTCCACACGTGTGATTTTTCCATCCCCGTCCAGATCATACATGTTGAAGGCCCAGTTGAGTTTCTGCTCAAAGCTGCCCCTGGAGGTGATGGACAGGGCGCAGATGAACTCCCTGAAGTCGATGGTGCCGTCGCCGTTCTTGTCGAACGTTCGAAATGCGTGCTGAGCGAACTTGGAGGCATCACCGTACGGGAAAAACTGTAAACGACAAACATAAAAACAAAGTGATCTTTGGACTGTGTGTGTAGAACGCTCCATAAAATTGTTCACTTTCATGATGTCTTGCTATCCTTCATCCCAGAGTTCACTTTCTGAACCTTTCTGAAATCACAGAAAACGGCTTTTAAGGTATTCGACACCCAAATAGTGCAGTTTTGTTTTTGTTTGTTTTATTTCAACACCGCGCTCACGGCTTCATTTCATGCTACTAGTGATATTTCAATGACATCACCAGAACAGCAGATCACTGCTTCAATTTTCATTTATTCATTCAAACTTTATTTATACAGGTTAGTCTCATTGAGCCTCAAAGACTCATTAACAAGAGAGACCTGTTTTAAACAAAGAACACTGATGAGATACAGACAACAATAGACAATCATATAAAAAGCAGATCACATGAAAAATAATTGGAAGACAAATTATATATAAAAAAAAACAGCTAGGTTGTAAGGCGGTATAGAAAACTAAAAACAGGAACATGTCTGCATTGGTTTTTACCAGGAACTTAACAGATGTTTTGAGCAACTTAAAGAGGTCAAGGTTGAGAGCTTCAGATCTTTTTGCAAGATATTCCAGGAAACAGGAGCGGAGTAGGAGAAAATCCTTTTGCCTAGTTCAGTTCTCACTGAGGGAACACTGCAGGTAATAATATCCTGAGAGCGCACGCTGTAGCTGCACTCACGCAGAGACATGTAGGAGGAGATGTAAGAACGATAGTTACAGCCAGTTATGAATCTTAGTGCACCATGATAGACAGTGTACAACGTCTGCAGGGTGCTTGTCAGAGTCAGAGTCAGGGTCAGAGTCAGAGTTTCTTTATTGTCATTCGCAACTCATGTGGTACATGTGGTGGAGCGAAATTATGTACACAGGGTCCCAGTTACATCCAACAATAAAATGTATAAGAAAAACAGTAATAACATCTAAGATATGAACTAAGAAAAACATCAACTAAATATACACTAAGCACTCATAACATAAAACATTGAACATCAGCACAAACATGAACATGAGTCTGTGAGCAGATGTGCACGCATGAACACATCAACATTGAAACAGATCAGCAGCAACATGAAACAGATCAGCAGCAACATGATGTGGTTTTTCACAGTGATTATTCTAATTAGAGATTCATGAGTCTATTTATCATGAATCATTAGTTCACCCAGCGCTGTTTCAATTTCCTGGTGAATTAATTCATTCCACTTGATTAATAGGAGAATACTCAAACCAAGGGTAGAAGCTGTTCCTCAGTCTAGTGGTTCTACACTTAATGCTCCTTAACCTCCTTCCTGAGGGGAGTGGGGCAAAAAGAGTGTGTGCTGGGTGAGTGGGGTCCTTCATGATGCAGGTGGCCCTCTTCCTGTATCTGGAGGTGTAGATGTCTGTGATGGTGGGGAGGCTGATTCCGACAGACTTCTGTGCAGCCTTCACCACTCTCTGCAAAGCTTTTCTTTCTGCAGCTGTGCAGCCTCCATGCCACACGTTGATGCTGGAGCACAGGATGCTCTCCACTGCACACCTGTAGAAGGAGGGGAGGACTGAGCTTCCCAGACCAGCTCGCCTCAGCCATCTGAGGAAGTAGAGTCTCTGATGAGCTTTTTTGATCAGGCTGGTGGTGTTGTTGCTCCAGCTGAGGTTGTCATTCATGTGTACACCCAAGTACTTGTAGCTGGAGACCACTTCCACTGCAGATCCTCTTATGTTCAGGGGGGTGTAGGTGTTTTTGTTCCTTCTGAAGTCCACAATCATCTCCTTTGTCTTCTTCACATTGATGTGAAGGTTATTCTCTTTGCACCAGCTCTCCAGGTGTTCCACCTCTTGCCTGTAGCTGGCGTTGTAGGAGCGTTCATGTAAATACTGTCACCGTAATCAATGGAGGGAAGGAAAGTTGCAGTTACAAGATGTTTCCTAGTGTTCAGCGTTAGACGGGATCTATTTATGAAAAAGAAACCCAGTTTAACTTTCTGTTTCTTTACCAAGTTTTCCACATGGGGCTTAAAGGAGACGTGAATTGACCAAATTACCCAAATATTTATAAGAATCAACAAACTCAATAGCAGCATGGTGGCGCAACTGGAAGAGCTGCTGCTACTTAGCAAATAGATTGGGGGCCTTTCTGGGTGGAGTTTGCATGTTCTCTCCGTGCATGTGTGGGTTTTCTCTGGATATTCCAGTTTCCTCCCACAGACCAAAAACATGCATGTTAGGCTGATTGGTAACTCTAAATTGTCCCTAGGTGTGAGTGAGAGAGAGAATGGTTGTTTGTCTCCTTTGTCTGTATGTGTCCCTGTGATGGACTGGAGACCTGTCCAGGTGTCCCCTGCCTCTCGCACAGCAATGGCTGGACATGGGCACCAATGACCCCCCACGACCCGAAAAGGAAGAAGCAGGAAGAGATAATGGATGGATGGATGGATGGATGGATGGATGGATGGATGGATGGATGAACGGACGGACAGACAAGCTCAATAGGGGGACAAACCATTAAAATCAGTTGCGGTTTTAGGTTTTAATAAAAGTGTTGATGTGTATAAGTCAAGAGGTTTTGTTGCTCTATTTGTTTTTGTGAATTGTACAAAAACGTGTGCAGTTAAAGTTACTCATAAGAACCAAAAATATTCAGTTTTAGTTCAATTCGGTTTTGTTATTTAGCAGCAGTGCAATCGAGATCCTATGTCTTTTGTTTATAACATAATTTAAAATGAAAAAGTTATAATTATTATGTTTATTAATCAAACTGTCTTTAGGTTTATTAGACTTTAACCTGTTTGTTATCACTGCGTCCCCTCACAGATTAAAGCCCAGCAGAGGATGAAGAGGCCTCATGTGGGTCTAAGTGAGTCTGCTGGATTTCTTCAACAGTAAACGTTTGGATTACAAACGCTTTACAAACTCTTTATTTATATATTTTTATGTGTACGTTTTAAAGGTCTGTCTTTATAGTTTACTTTAGATGTGTAATTTCCCTTCTCTGAATTGAATTAAATTGAAGTGAAGTGAATTGAAGTCAAAATTTAGAATAAAGTAAATCAGAATTAAACCTGGTAAAAAGAAGCGTTTCCAGCCAAAGTTAAAAGCAGTTTGTGCCGAAGCAGCTGAAGCTGCAGAAGAAAAAACTTTTGTTGTAAACAATAAAAACAGACATGAGAGGCTGGTGACTAGTTCATTATATATTATAATACTTTTATATTATACTTCATGTAACAATTGTGAAATATGTCTTTTACGTATGTGTAAGTATGTGTAGCAAGAAGTTTAAAGTATATTCAAGAATGGATTTTACATTTATACTGTATATGAACCACTTATGTTATGAAAGCATGATTTAATTTTTTACTTTCATGTGAAGCACACACGTGAGGAGCTTTATTTAACAAGACATTGTAAAATTTTTGTTATATGACGTACAGGCCGATGTTTAAGAAATGAGCCAAAATACTGAATGTTTTGTTGAACTGAAACCCTTTTCAGTTTTTTTTATTTATTTAAAAAAAAAATTTTTTTTTTTAATCTGGGATAAACTAATAATAATTTCTTAAAATGTTATGATTTCACCACACGATTAAATACTTTGTCGGTTTAACACAATGTGTTTACATCATAAAACATTGATTTCAGAAAAATAAATATGTAAATAAGCGAACTTTTGAGAAATAAAAACTACCCCCAAAAATATGGTGTCAAAGAACTTAAAAAATAAAATAAAATAAAATAAAAAATTTTGAAAAATTGTAAAAAGAAATTGATAATGAATTAAAAATATCACGAACAGGAAATGCAACACTAAATACTGCACAATAAGCTTGATATGAGGCCAGTTTCTTTAAAAAAAATTAACAAACCTGGATACTAAACAAACCAATGTGGGTCAATCATTAGCATCAAAAGCATTTGTAATATTGTGGGGGGGGACATGATTCCCCCAGAATAAAATGAATAAAGTAGATGCCATTCCTCAAGCCTGGTGTATTTTAACGGGTTGTTAAACATCTACGTTTACCTACATATGTTAACACTTAATTCAGTAACTATTTTAGAGAGCACGGCACAAGAAGTAGCCTGACCAACAGCTCTCCTCGTGTGAATAGAGCATGCTCCGCTTCTCTCACGCATCCTAACCCACCCCCACCCCGGTTGACAACTGCCGGCATTAAGCAAAGCTAGCGCACAACACAGAGGCGTATCTCCCTCTTCCCCCCGCCCCATCCATAAAAAACCCCGAAGAGATGAGCACCCTGCCAAGGCAAGTGACCTCGGGGAAACACTGCATGCAGTGTGGAGAGATGTTGTAGGTAACCAAGAAAACCCGAAGTGGACTTTTAGTGGTTTGAGTATTCTCCTATTAATCAAGTGGAATGAATTAATTCACCAGGAAATCGAAACAGCGCTGGGTGAACTAATGATTCATGATAAATGTGGGGGAGTCCAAATTAGTATTTTTTAAAAGACACGTCCCCTTCATATATAATTGTTGCAACACCTATGGGGTCAGCTGATACTCTTTAGTGGCTGATCAATTCATCTAACTGCAAGAGTAGAAAACAGTCTAATTGTTCAGATTCAGTAACATGAGGCTTATATTTTTTAAACACACAATTAAAAAAATAATTTAGGTAATTACTTTTATGACATAAGAAGAGACATAATAATTTATAGATTAATGCCACTTGAAATGGCTTAAAACAAATGTTATGAACAAAACTACCTGTAATTCATCAAACTGTCCCCCTCCATAGTGTATTGTTGCCTCCCCCCTGCCCTCCTTGCTCTCTCACCTTGACGTAGAGCTGCTGAAACTCGTCCAGGTTAAGAATGCCAGAGGGGCAGTCTTTGAGGAAGCCCTTGTACCACTGCTTGAGCTCCACCTCGTTGAATTCAGTGTTTTTGGTCAGGTCATCCAGGACCTCCGGGGCCAGCTTGCTGTTGTGTTTCCCCATGACGCTGCACCTCCCTGGGAGGAAACACAGGGAGGAAAGGAGGTGAGCAAACAGGTGAAGAGGCGCTAGACAAATTAAAGACCTATGTTGCTGAACTGTGCAGGTCTCTAGGGAATGGGCGAGAACAAACAGATGCATGTGAAGAAAGAGCAGTTTCTTGCTATGTGTCAAAATATTTGGCGATACTGTTAAGAAGTGTATTAGTAGTATTCTTTAAGGAGGACTGCAGATCCAGTCAGAGTAAAGCTTTATGTAACTGTCACTGACTGGCTGTCAGAAGTTTAGGACCTTGTTTGTTGTAACCCCTATCACTTGTATCGCTCGTGTTGACATCGTTAACCAGGTGTCATGTGGTGCTCTCTCTGCCACACGCTGGACAGAGTGCAGTGAAGTTCTGAGCTGCTGAAGCAGTGTCAAAAGCAGTAATCACACATGCAATCAACAAAAAATGTTGAATCAAATCAGGACTTGACGAAGGAAAAAGAACTGTTGCCATATAAGAGAAATTCAATCCATCCATCCATTATCTTTACCCACTTCTTCCTTTCCGGGTCGTAGGGGTCACTGGTGCCCATGTCTAGCCATTACTGTGCGAGAGGCAGGGGACACCTTGGACAGGTCTCCAGTCCATCACAGGGACACAGAGACAAACGAGACAAACCACCATTCACTCTCTCACGCACAACTAGGGACAATTTAGAGTTACCAGTCAGCCTAACATGCATGTTTTTGGTCTGTGGGAGGAAACTGGAGTACCCTGAGAAAACCCACGCATGCACGGAGAGAACAAGCAAACTCCACCCAGAAAGGCCCCCGGACCGGCATTTGAACTGGCAACCTTCTCGCTGAGAGGCAGCAACTCTACCAGTTGTGCCACCTTGCTGCCATAGTGAAAATCAATTCGTAAATACAATAATAATAATAATAATAAAGTAACCAAAATAATAAAATTAAATTAATATTAAATCAGTCACTGCAGATGAGTGATTGTCAGTTTCTGTAAGATTTCTGAAACTGGAGCAGGTATGTCTGTTTACTGGTTCACTTCCTGAGCTGTCTCAGATTTTAAGGGTCAATCCTACTCCATGTTTCAGCTTCTTTCATAGATCAGATCTCATAGAAGAGCACTTCTAAAGAGCAAATTTTGTTTTTAGCTTTTGTTTTGGGCCATTATCTCATTACAGGACTCATGATCTTTAATTGAGACCAGACTTTTTGACAAATGGGAGCAGCTTTCGCTTCAGATGCTTCATATTTCATTGTACCCAGACCAGACTCAAGCCAACCTGTGTCAGGTGCAGCTACAACCAAGAACAAAAGAGAATCTTCTTGTCTTTGACAGCAGATATATCGCTGTTTCTTAGAAACCTTCAGTTTTAAACAAGAGCTGACGTAACTTACCTAAAGAGCAGCAAATACAGCTAGCCAAAAAGTGTTTGCCCTCCACATACGCCTATGGTCCCAAAACGCCCACTTTTGGTCTGCAGAGAACCCCTTCTCACCAGCTCTGAGAAAAACCCTGGTTGTGCCAAACTTCTTCCACTTGAGAATGATGAAAGACCCTGAGCATTTGGCAAACCTCAGTTTAACAGAAATGCATTTGTAGTAGGCTCCAGATGTCTGCTTTGCAACAAAAAGCCTTCTTTTCTCATCTCTGCTCCAATGAGCTGAGGAGGGTGGGAACACTTTCTACATCCACTATAAATGACACCAACATTGTAAAACAGATGTCCTGGTTCATGTTCAATAATCCAGGTAGAAAAATCCAACAAAGTTAAGTCAGTTCTTCTGGACAGTTTCATTTTATTGAAATGATTATTCTGTAAAACTGACACAGCTCGTGCTTCTTTCTGAACAATCATTAGCTATGAAACTTCTATCAATCTTCTGAGTCCCATAGTCTGCCAATATGTACCATCATTTTGTCTGACTTAACATGTAGAAAGGAGTTATAATGTCATCCCGAATGTTAGAGCAAAGTTGTTTTTCTTCCAGAAATGTTTGCTTTTCTATCATGATGTTACAAAGAGGTAAGCCACAAAACCAAAGTTACAATTATTCTGCAATAAGAAGATTTTGACTATCGTAGTACTCTAAAACCTGTCCTCTTGTCCCCATTTAAAACAGTATAAACTTTTCTAAATGTCTTCCCGCTAAGTTAGGTCGTTTGACAATGTTGTCTCACAGTATTACACACATACGAGTGTGGAAAATAAGCAGCAAGTGTGAGATGTGATTTGACTTAGATGCTGCACAGGACACTGTTTGAATAAGGCCTTTAAAGCACCTTCCCTGGTATTATTTTAGCCTCGACACTCGTGTTGTGTCAGTGAGGGCCCTGATGTCATCACTACAGTTTTGAGCTCATAAAATGCTCCATTACCTATCATCACCGCACATACTTCATGTTCTGATGGTCACTGCAGAGCTTTGATGAGACCATTCCCGACTCGGACAGCTTTCACACTCTGTCACCAGGACGAGGCTGGCAGCAGAACTGTCACAAATCTTAGTAGTAAGGAGCAGTTTTGTTGCTGAATTATCAACCTGTCATGTTTTAGTGTGTGAGTCATGTGGACTGAGGCAACTAAACCCAGGTCACTGCACACTGTGCCATCCTGTTGGATGCTGCATTCCTGTCCGGAGTGCTAAACGATAAAACAAAAGCAATAAATGGCAAAACTCTGTGTGGTAATGTTAGTTCACCCACTTAGCTTCATATTCCAATGTAGGATAAGATTTGTAGTAAATAAAATAATAAAAGACATCCATATCATCCATCCATTATCTTTACCTGCTTCTTCCTTTTTTCGGGTTGCAGGGGTGCATCCATATCCATTTATTTATTACATAAAAATGTTATAAAATATATTTAATTCACTCAAATTTTAAATATGTTTGTTCTGCATGAAGCACCACATAATTTAAATCAATGTCTATAAAATCACTGTCATTATCTTCTTAAAGTGCTTTGACAGTCATGGACCATGAAAGAAAGTGTTCACAAGCACAAAAAACACAACCCACCCACACACACTTACAAACACACCAGTGGTATAGTCTACATAATACGCGGGTATACTGAGTATACCCACTAGAAAAGCTTAAGAGTTTCAGTATACACACTTAAAAGTGCCCAATGGTACATGACATATTATTAGGCATGTGTTATAGATACACTAAACAACAGTTAAATGCTTCTGTAACAATCTGTCTGTATGCAGCACTCGTTTATTACATTCTCTTATCCAGCAAATTCTTGTATAATTCTGTACTTACTACTTAATACTTGAACATGTTTTGCTTTTATACTGTTTTATAAATTTTGTAACATGTTTTTAATACAAAGCCAACTGTTGTACAAAGTTTGTTGTTTATTTATTCAAATATAAGCATCAGAGAAATTTGGAAATGTTCAGTATGCTTAAAAATCAAAATAAATCGACAATTACGTTGTACTAACCAGTGCACTTTGGTTTCTAAGCGCAGTATATGGACCGACCGCGGTAAAGTTAGATTTGCATTGGACGTTGGACATCCACGCTCCGTGTCTTCAGCGGTGTCCAACGTAAAACTAAATTTATCTCAGTATACCCACTACAAAAATGTAGACTACACCACTGAAACACACCTAACAAGGTTGTAAATTTGTTTTAAGCCTCTGTAAGAAATGAAACTGTCCTCTGTTAGTGGAGCAGATGCAAAGAAATAGTTCCCTAAAAAGTCAAGATATGAATCAAGAACATCCGAAGTCAGGTCTCAGGGGCAGCAGCTTGAGCAGGGAGGTCCAGACATCTCTTTCCACAGCCACCTCCTCCTTGGTGGACATGCCCAAAGCACCTCCTTAGGGAGGCACCCAGGAAGCATTCTTACCAGATGTCTGAACCACCTAAACTGGCTCCTCTCGATGTGGAGGAGCAGTGGTTCTACTCTGAGTCGCTCCTGGATAACTGAACTTCTCAACCTATCTCTAAGGGAGAGTCCAGCTACCCTGTGGAGGAAACTCTTTTCAACCGCATGTATCTGCCATCTCATTCTTTCAGTCATTTTCCAGAGTTCATTGCCATAGGTGAGGGTAGGAACATAGACTGACCGGTAAACAGAGAGCTTTGCCTTACAGTTCAGCTCCCTCTTCACCACAACGGACCGGCACAGAGTCCGCAATACTGCAGACACTGCACCAATTCGTCTGTCAATCTCACGCTCCACTCTTCCCTCACTCGTGAACAAAACCCCGAGCTACTGGAACTCCACCACTTGAGGCAGAACCTCACCCTCGACCCAAAGAGAGCAATCTACCCTTTTCCAACCTAGGACCGTGGCCTCAGATTTGGAGGTGCTGATTCTCATTCATTCAATTTTTATTTAGACAGGTTAATCCCATTGAGCCTTGGGGACTCATTTACAAGAGATACCTGATTTTTAACAAAGAGTGATAACAGTGGACGACAAAGACAACAATAGACAAACATAAAGGATGCGTACAAATTGAGATTTTTTTAAATAAGTGAAAATGGTATTTTAAAGAAAATTTAAAACCTGCTAGGTTGTAAGGCGGTGTAAAATACTAAAAACAGGAACGTCTGCATTGGTTTTTCCCAAGAACTTAGATGTTTGAAGCCACTTAGAGAGGTCAAGGTCAAGAGCTTCAGATCTTTTTGCAAGGTATTCCAGGAAACAGGAGCGGAGTAAGAGAAGGCTTTTGCCTAATTAATCGTCCCCCTAGATTCTCATCCCAGCCTCTTCACACTCGGCTGTGAACCGCTCCAGTAAGAGCTGGAGGTCAAGACACAAATCAAGAACAATAAATTCCTTATTTGTTAAAATTAGCTTTACTTGAAAATACTCTTTCCAGCATATTAAACCACCATAATGAGCATGAAAAAGAATATAATTCAATGAGAAGCTAATAATGCATTGTAGCTATAAATGTGCTTTGATTTATCACATGGATGAAGATCTCTTAACTTTTGCTGCTCCACCCATCAAGATCATCAACTGTCTTGACGGCTTG